GCACTTTCAGCCTCCACTCGTGTTCACATACCTCATTTTTCAAGTGTTTTCTTTGCTTCTGTTTCCACACAGACCTCATTACCTCAGAAAATTTACAGCGCTGATATCCGACTACATTTACATGTGTGTTTTAGAGTTTCTCTTTCACTCTGGATGCGTCACAGCTTTTTAAAAGGAGCCTGAAGCTGTTGGGTAAAGACACATAATGCAATCTGAAAGGTTTGGTACGAAGTCCTGAAGGCCCCGGGGTTTTTGAAAAAGATGTTTTTAAATATCTTGCAATTTTTAACATTTGGAGGAAAAAAAAAACATGGACAAGAATCATTCTCTATACTTTCTTTAAGCCATCAAATACGGAAGCCCATTCCTGCCAAGACAAAAATTTTTAGAATGAAAATGGAAATTAGAAATAATAAAAATTCTTTTGGTTCATCAATATTATGAGATGCTAAAGTCCACATTTTGACTTTTCCTCTGATACAAGTAAAAACTGAAACTTACACGGGCGTTACTAATTTTACCCAAAATATTATCATTTTTAGGTAAAATAACAAAGATTTTTACTTTGTTCATCCAAACATTTTTGGTTTTTTTTGTAAAATTTAAATTAACCTGGTTTCATTTTATATTTTATTGTTAATTCCACAAATTTTGCATTTTAACTGAATTTCCGCATATTTGATGTGGTCTTTTTTTTTTTTCAAACTTTTTTTTTAAAGTGACGTTATCAGAGCGGACACAAACTCTGGTATAATAACAATAATAATAATAAAGACAAATTATTTTTGTGTATCACTTTTAATTGAAATTACAAAACATTAAACAAGGGGAGAAAAAAACCCCAATATTAGTGATGCAAATAAAAATCGAGGGGCATTAATTGAGTAAAACAAAGCTGAAAATATAAAATAGTTAAAATCAGAAGCCAAAACAATAAGCTTTTATAAGAAATAGATGGAAACTACTTGAGTTATGTGTTTTTATCCAAGACAGCAGCAGCTCTCTGCACTGTAAACTGAATATTAAATAAATACTGTTGCCGTCAGGTTCAGAGCCCGTATCCAAACACTGCAGGTGAGCTCACTTGGCGGCAGCACCATCATGTGACCTGCTAACCAATCACTGCGCCTCCTGTCCTTGTTTACAAAAGCCATAACGGAGGGAAATGCATCCGGTCGGAGTAAAAGAGGGAAAAAGCTTAACTGCAGAGTACAAATTCTTTTTTTTTTTCTTTCTTCTAGTTACTTAATGAATCAATGCAAAGTGGGTCCATAATGAAGTAAAACTATTTTTTATAGTTTTATCACAACAGTAGCCAGAAAACAGCTTTTTACTCGAGCTTTCCTCCAAGTTTTAGTGCTATTATTGGAAAACATTCAAGACAGTGGCATTGACTTTATTAATTTATTTCTGAACAAGTAGAAGCAGTGAAATTAACAAACATTAGAAAGGAAGGAGTCTGAATATCTGATATTTATAAGGAAAGATCTCAAACTTTTATCATTTGATGATGAGATTTTGCTTAGAAATGATGCCGTAAGAAAATCTGAAAAACTATATATAAAAAAAGGATCTCATAATTAAGTACAAATGAACTGCAAAATAACTTTGTTTTAATTATCCCACCATTCTCATCATATTAGTATTAGATTGTAATTAGGATGTAGTTTCTCATCTCATATTTATAACATGAATCCTTTCTTGTAGTTAAATATTATTTAAGATTTCTGAGATTAAAAAAAAGTCTCAAAAATACGGGAAAAGATTTTGCAACAAAATCCAAATCTAGACATTTTTGTCTCCCGAATACAAAATTCAAAAAACACAATCAAGAGAGTAGATTTAAGTCGTTATAGAAAGAAAAAGTTGTTCATATTTGAGATATGTTCTCATATTTACAGTTTAGAATTGTGAGAAATGTGTCTCAGCATCAAAGATTTTTCTATCGTGATTATAAGATTGTCTTTGTCATTCTGAGAAACTACGTCATAACTAACACAAATCCTAATTATGAAATATGACCTGTAATTATTCTATTTTTTTCTTTGACTTGTTTTCTCGTAGTTGAGTGCCGCATAACATTTCGAGATCTTTATGAAATGTAGACTTCGTAATCCTGGTAGATGTCATTTGTAAGTTTTGTGATACAGATATGCAAGATTATCAGAAACGTAAGACATTTCATCTCATATTTATTGTGACGTCAAATGTGACGCGTCATCATCACAAGAGTAGACCTAAGATACAACTACATGAAAAAAAAACACATTTATTTAATTATTATTAGGAAACAATTTTAAAGAGATCTTTTCTAGTAAATATAAAATATTATGTTGTAATTATGTAATATGGATACTTGAAATAATGTAAGATTAAAGTTGGTTATGAGAAAAGACCTGTTCATTTTGAAAAAGTAACGACAGGAGGAGCTTGTATCGTAATTGATCCAAATTAAAAAGATGATTTCTTGTAATTCAGACTTTTCTGTCACACAATATTGATATGAACGTTTATTTTTCTGCTGTCAGCGCTTGTTGCGATCCTCGTTTTCTTAACTTAATAGTGCGTTACTTTAGAAATAGTTTAGTCTGGATGCATTTCTCTCCAACATTGTTTTTAAGGGGGGCCACAGTCTCTGTTTTTTTGTTATTTTTCGCACTGAGACGCGTTGAGACGCCGTTCATCAGAACATATCGCAGAGCTCATCTTTGTTCCTGTGAGTTTTATCGTATTGGTTGGCGGTTTCCTGAAAAGTGGTTGTGTGGTTCCCGTTTAGAGAGGAGACGATGTTACGTACGTTCTGCCTTTTTGTTAAAAAGCTGCGAACAAGAGAAAAGAAGGGAGTCGGTTCTGCAGTTAAGATAAAGATTCATCACTTGGACCTCCATCTTTAATAGAAATCATGCAGGTTCCTTAAAGAGACTCTGAACTGATCAGTGGTTCCTCAGGGAACGATTCGAGGTCCTCTTATTGTTTAATGCAAACACAGGAACGGGGGTATGAAAGGGATGTTTTAGTATTTTTAAGAGTTTTACTGTTTAGTTAGCTTTATTTTTATTTGAGTAGTTGTACTTTGACTGTTTGTAATGAGACAAGGAAACTAATCCTGGAGGCTTTTTTTTGTTTTTTTTTGGTTTTATACGTTAAGTATCTATTTGTACTCAGTGTCTGATGCTGATGAACCGACCTGCTCTGTTTGTCATCTCAGTGTTTGGATTTAATGCAATACTTTTGATAAAATGTGCCCTTTTTTGTAATTCAGCACTGAAAACCAAATCTGAAAGTTTCCTATTTAATACCACGATTTTAAAAAGTGCTGGATTTGAAGAGTTGGACAGTCGGGCAATGGAGGACAAAGTCAGCCAACGTGAAAATTAACTCAAAATTGATGTGACCTTTGACTCTGTTGTGACCAATGTCAGTTTTGAGTGAATTCTTGCCAACAGGAACTGGTTGTGTTTGGCTGTTTTACCTTGTGTTGATCACATCCGAATGTCATTTACGCCAAGTTCCACCTGTCAGCCATGATGATGTGATGATGAAGGCGACGGTGAGGGTTTGTTTTTTTATTATTATTTCTATGACCTGTTTTAGTCGGGTACTTTTTAGTGTTAAAACTCCAACAAAACCAATAAATGTTCACAACTACCAAGCTGGGCCTCAAGACTTCTATTCTTTGTGGACTGAAAAAGTTTCTTGTTTGCTTTGTCTGATCAATGACGGATTCTTATGGTAACACATAAAGATGATGATTTAAAACAATGGAAACAATCTGTTAACCAGTTGTTCAATCTCATAATTAGGACTAATTGCCTCATAGACACAGGAAAAGATCTTCTCTCAAAACTGCAAATCATGTACTTTGAGTTCTTGCCACACAAACGACTCGTATTACAGACGGAAACTGAGAAAAACTAAAAAATAAAAATAAAAAAAAAACCTGAGAAGATCTTAGAACTGATAGCTAAAATTGAAATAAAATAATTTTATATCTAAGTTCTGAGATCATATCATTAGATTTTTTTTTAATCACTAAAACTTTGTATTTTTGTGAAAACTGACCTGAATGTGCTGCAATCAGCAGAGTATTGGAGATCTAAAATCCAAAACCTGATTTAATTTAACCTCCATTTTAATCTCTGTGTCTCCCTGTGCAGTGCTGCTCTGCTCCCAGAGCTCCTGCAGCACTTTAATGTTCCCTGAAAGTCCTGTTCTGTGCCAAAGTATTGTCCTTTTTAAAATGAAAAAATTTGTGTTCACAGTTCTGGTGGGCGAGTTCACCCAAACAATCCGCTGATCTGAGAAATTGTTTCTGCAAGAGTCCATCTTTGTAGTCATTTTGTCTCTGTAGTCATACTGTGTCTCCTTGAGGTCTTTTTTTTTTGTTGTTGTTCTGTGTATGGTCACTGTGTGTCTCTTTGTACTTCAACCCTTTTCTAACCCTAATTTAAATACTGTGCCAATTCAAAAAAAAAACAAAAAAACAAAAACAAAAAAACTTTATTTAAACCGTTTCAACATTTCTCTAACCTTTAAACCTTTCAACATGTTTCTAATCTTTATTTAAACGCTGTTCCAACCCCTTTTCTTACCTTTATTTGATTAGTTTCAATCTTTTCGGAAACTTTATTTAAACTCAATTTCAACATTTTTCTAACCTTTATTTTAAAAACAGTTTCAAAATGTTCTAACCTTTATTTAAACGCTGTGCTCCTCGTCCCTCTGACGTGCTGACGTCATGAGTCGCGGGGCGCGTGCTGCTCCTCGTTCATTAATTCATATTAACACAGCGGCGCGTGCAGTCAGAGATCAAAGGGGGCGCGAGCTGCCGGTTCTGTAACAAAGTAGCGAGCGCGCCCCCGCCCGCTCTGCGCGCGTACAGACAGTCGTGCCCACCTCCCGCGGTCGTCATGGTTACCTGCATACCCGCCTGAACGGGTACGAGCGCGCGGGGAGGGAGGAAGGTGAGGAGGAGGAGGAGGAGGGAGGATCCAGAGGGGAGGAGAGGAGGCGAGGCGGCGGGTGTTCTGCCGAGGTGGACGTGGCGGGTCCGGCGGAGCGAGCTACAAGTGACGGGCAGCGGAGCCGAACCGAGGCGGACAGCCGGCCATGAACCGGACCCCCCGCAGGTAACGTACCGCCGCGTTCCGTCGGCCGCTCGGCGCCGCAGAGCCGCTTTTTCTCAGCACAGCCCTCCGCCGCGGCTCCGCTCGGTTTCCTGCTTTTAACGGGCAGCCGGACGGATAATGACCGAGAGTGCTGCCGTCGGCCGCCGCACTGATTTGCCTCAGTCGGTTCTTTTTGTGTCGGAGTGTCAGCCGCTCCCCGCTGCGCCCGGTCATCGGGATAAAAGTGTCCGGGACCACAGAGGAGGCTCGGCCACCACCGCTCCCCCCGCGGCTGCCTCTCCTCCCCGCCTCACTCTCACTTTCTCCCCCATGCTAACAGCAGCTAGCCCCGCTAGTTAGCTTAGCAGCCGACGTTGGTGCGATAAACAAGATGGCCACTGGCTAGCTGCTAGCTAGCAGACATGGCAGCTTGCCCCGTCTTTGTACGGCAGGAGAGCGGCTGTTTTATCGTCTCCCTCCGCTGACAGGAGCCTCCTGAAACCCCCGAGCTTCAGAATAGACCGAAGATAGGTTGTGTGTCGGAACCGGAGGGTGTTGTTACTGTGAGCCGACTGAAACATCATCCGAGCGAAAATCAGCGCCAGATTGTAGCAGCAGTCCGGCAGCGGTGCGGAGGCTGCGTGGCGAGCTGAGAGGCCACCTGAGCGGCGGAGGGGGCAGAGCAGGGACAGGTAACATGGACACAGGTAACGGGGTCAGGTACTGTTCACCTCCGAGCCGCGGCCCGAGCAGCTGCAGCCACATCTGCTCTTTGTCACAGGACAGCCTCCGGATCTGTTCATGCAAACTTTACTGTGTGTGTGTGTATGCGTGTGTGCGCGCGCGCGCGCGTGTGTGCGTGTGTGTAAGCCTGCTGCAGACACACAGAGCTGCAGACAGACAGAGGACAGTTGCATTAGTTCTATCACACCAACATGTGCTTCCATGGCAGTAAACAGGAAGTGTCCTGCAGCTCCTGAAAACTCCTTATATCCGTAAACAAAGAAAGTTTTCAAGCTGAACTTCAGTCCTGAACGTGTCTGTTCTGTTTGACATCATGGACACTTTATTGCAGCACAAACTGAAGCTCCACTGAACACATCCTTCAGTGTTGTTGTCTGAAACAGGGGCTGGTTCCAGGACTGTGGGGCCCTGAGCAGACACCAGCTAGAGGCCCCCAGAAGACGAACAACAACTGTGCAACAATAACTCAATCTTTGCAGTCGTTTTGCAACTCTTTGTGGCTGTTTTGTATTTTGTAAACTTCTTGTTGTGTTGCTGTATCAGTCTGTTGTGTTGTTGCATTTTTGTCTCCCTGCAGGCTGGTTGTCGCATGTCAACCATGTTGTGTCGTCTCACCAATTTGTATTGTATGTCTGCAAGCTGTTTGTCGTGTTGTTGTTCCCTGCAGGCTGGTTGCTGTGTTGCCTCGCCGTGTTGTGTTGTTTAACAGTCTGTTGTGTTGTTGTATCTTTACAGGCTGGTCTCTGTCAGGTGTGGGTGCTGACTGCGATCCTCCGTCTGATTGGCTCTTGGGGACTCGGGCCCTGCAGCCCCTCCTGAGTCCGGACCAAACCTTCAGCACTGGGGGGGAGGGGGGGAGTGGAGGGAGGAGGAGGAGCTTCAGTGATCCTTCAGGTGTGACAAGCAGCACAGGGAGGAGGGTTAGCTCCGCCCCTCGCCATGACAGACTTAGAGACTGAGTGCCTGAGCCTCGGCCTGCCCCCCGAGTGCAGCTCACCTTCACCGCCTCTGGACTCGTCCCTACAGGGGGACTGTGGCCCGGGGCCCACCGGATCGGCCCCGACACCCACTCTGGCGCTCCTCTCCTCCGACTGCCCCACGCCGACGCTCAGCTCGCTGGCGGCGGAGATCGCAGAGCCGCTGGTGATGCTGCCATGTGTGAAGAGCGAGCCGGAGGACGGAGACCTGGAGCCCATCAGGACTGTGGACCTGTCGGAGATCCAGCCGCTGTCCACTGCCGAGCTGGGCCAGGACCAGATCAAGATGGAGATCAGCGGCCTAGACTACATCAAGTCCGAGCACCATGGTCACCACGGCAACCATCACCTGGGCCCGTTTCACCACAGCGACGTCACTGAGCTGGACTACAAGTCGCACTACGAGCCCAGCTCTGTGTTCGACTACATCTCCCAGGTAAATATACTCCCCAACCAAAGTCCAGTCAAAAGTTTACACATTTTAGGAAATCTCTGCTTTCACCAGCATCGAAACTGTAATTTCACCATTTGCACACTTCAGCTTTAACACATGTTCACTTCAACTGTCAACACCTATGATTTTTTTTTAAACATTTAAATCTTTTATCCCCTCAGTCATGTGATTGGCAGCAGCACCACGTTTGTGATCCAGCTGTGAGCACTGACACATCCCACCATCCCCATTCAAAATTCTTTACGTTTAAGAAAATGTCCAGTTTAACTGAACTGTGAAATGTAGTTTCAGTGCTTTAACACATCCTGAGCAAATAATGTTCACTTTGTAACTCAACCCCACTAAATTTAAAATCATTAATTTCTCCAGTCATGTGAGTGGCAGCAGTGAAAAATGTGTCTTTCAGGCGTCAGCATTTGCACATCCCCACCAAACTCCATTCAAAATTCTACACATTTTAGGAAATCCCTTTCTTTAGCAGGCTAAAAATGTAATTTCTCTCAGCTTTAACATGTTCGCTTCCGCTGTCAACACAAGTGGTTTTTTTTTGTTTTTTTTAGCGATTTCTCTTGTTAAGAACACAGCTGACTCCTGTTTCTGTGACTGGATGCGTCCTGCTTCAGAGGCTCAGTCTAGCTCTGATCCAGGTCTTAAGATCATTAACTGATGACTGTAAATCCTTTTAAACACAACCTGAGTGCAACTGAGCTGATTGTGTGTCTGAAACACGAGCGCAATCCTCCAACACACAGTCATATTTTAGACATTGATCGATTTGTTTCCTGTGAATATGAAGTGCTGGACATAATGAGGCAGAGTGTGAATGAACCTTTTCAGTCTTGTAGAAGAGAGGATATATATCCTGTAGATGTTGTCTCTTTGTGAAACCTGTTGCAGACTGAATCTAAAGCTCAGTAAGTGTTGGTAGACTCGGGTCAGTCTGTCAATTCAAACGACATTCACTCATTTTCTGATCAGTGTTTATTTGTCTTTGTACTTTGGGACACACAGGAACCCATTTCAAGAGTTCAATATCTCCAAAACTTTAACTCCCACAGCCATGAAATTTGGTGAGGACACAGACAGAAGAGTTTCTAGCAGATCACAGTGATCGAATGACTCCGGCAGAGGACAGCTTTTTGATTATCGGTCATAAAGTTATGGCTCTTATCCACGTTGTTTCCTCCTGACTAGATCCTTGCTTGTGTTGCATCTACTCTCAGATGTACACTGCTTTGGATAAAAGTTCCTGTGTGTGTGTATATATATATATATATGGATGTATCCGTATTTCCTACTAAAGATTTAGTCTTTGGTCGACATTTCAGCAGCTTCTGAGGCCTGTAACATCAGAACAATTTGATGTGTGAAAAGTATGACAAAAGACAAGGTTGTGGTTTTTAGAGGCAGCCTTGGTTCAGGTGGTTGAGCGGGTTGTCCTCCAATCGCAAGGTTGGTGGTTCGATCCCCCGCCCCTCCACAGTTAAAGTGTCCTTGGGCAAGACACTGAACCCGAAGTCGCTCCCAATGGCAGGCAGCACCTTGCATGGCAGCTCTGTCGCCATTTGGATAAAAGTGCTATATAAGTGCAGATCATTTAGGTGTATGGCATGTACAAGTTGCAGGTCTCCTTCATGGTGAAACTGAAAGAATAGGTCCACGTCTCCCTTTTGTCGAAGTGATGCGTCCATATTTATATACACTTGCAACAACTTTCTGTGGTCACGATACCACCCTCTGTTAAAGTGGTGCTTTTTTTCCCCCCTTTGTCGAGAACCAATAATTAAAACGTGTCCTCTGCTGGATCCATTCAATCATTTAGATCAGCAGGAAAATCTTCTGTCTGTGTCCTCTGCAGATACTGAACCTTTACAGTGGCTTCATGGGTGTTTTGTTGTTGTTGTTATAGGGTTCAAATACAGCTGGTTCCTGGTCTGAAAACATATGAAACCGTCATGTTGGTGATCAGTCATTAGTCTGTAAATGTACAGTAGATCAGCTGTCGTACCTGGTTGTAGCTCTTGCTGTTTAAAACTGTGGAGACCAGAGGAGGCGTCACTCAGACTACAGGCGCTTCATGTTGGAGAGCAGAGAGCATTGTGGGAGTTTAGCTGGTAATGGGCACCATCAACACTCCAGCTAGTGTAAAATCAAGCTAGGATCAAAGAGGAAAGTTGTAATATCCCAGTATCATATACTACAGCTATTATTACGACTTGTTTGCTGATGTACTTAAAGAACTGGTCTCAGCTCGCTGCTGATCAATTAAAAAATTGCTTCATTGGGCGCCGCCATAGCTCACCTTAGTTGAGCGGGCGACCCATAAACAGGGGCTATCGTCCCCGATGCAGCGGTCGTGGGTTCGGCTCCCGCTCATGACCCTTTGCTGCAGATCTCTCCCCATTCTTCTCCCCCTTTCCTGTCTCTCTCTACTGCTCTAAATAAAGGCAACAGCCACTCAAAAAACAGATTTAAAAAAAACATTTACAATTGCTTCATCAGGAACCTGAGATGTTTTAGCAGCACTGCTGTCTGACATGACACCGACCCACGAGTGTTTGTTTGTTTGTGTTTCAGACGAAGCAAGTGTGCTGCAGCTTTGTTTTGTGGTTGCAGGTCACTGACACTCTGGAGTACATAAAGTCGGACCATCACGTGGACCTGCAGTGTTACTACACCACCGAGCTGAGCTCCCTGAAGTCTGAGTACGCCGACTCCAACGCCATGTCCACACACCTGCAGCACAACGGCCTCGAGTCCATCCACATGGCTGAGCTGCGCACCGAGCTCAACAAGCTCCGCCCCGACGCCCTGCTGATGGACGGCATGGGCAAACTGGACCCTGAGTTCGGAGGGGCGGCGCTGTACGAGCTGCAGCCCGCTGAGGTGGGAAAGACCTCAGTGGATTTGGCAGCGGGACAGGGAGCAGGAGGGAGTCTGGTCACGACCAAAACTCAGAGCTCGACAGTTAGGAAGCCTCGCAACATGCAAGGCGAGAAACCGTTCTCCTGCACGCAGTGCGGGAAAAACTTCAGCACGCTGGGGAACCTGAAAACTCACCAACGCATCCACACTGGCGAGCGGCCCTACACCTGCTCGCAGTGCGGCAAAAGCTTCGGTCAGGCGGGGAACCTCAAACGCCACCAGCTGATCCACACGGGCCAGAAGCCCTACGTGTGCGCTCACTGCCCCAAAGGCTTCACGAAGGCCGACGACCTGCGATCGCACCAGCGGCTGCACACCGGTGAGCGCCCCTTCATCTGCGCCACCTGCGGCAAGAGCTTCGGCCAATCCAAGGAGCTGAAGGCCCACCAGCTGAGCCACACCGGCGAGCGGCCGTACTGCTGCCAGCACTGCGGCAAGAGCTTCACCAAGGAGACCAGCTATCGCAACCACGTGCAGATCCACACTGGCGAGAAGCCCTTCACATGCTCGCAGTGCGGAAAGACTTTCAGCAACTCGGGCGTCTTAAAAACCCACGAGAAGATCCACACCGGCGAGCGGCCGTTTGGCTGCACGCAGTGCGGCAAGAGCTTCGGCCGCCTCGGCCACCTGAAGGCGCACCAGCAGATCCACACGGGCGAGCGACCGTACGCCTGCCCACAGTGCGGCAAGACTTTCAGCCAGTCAGGCCACCTCAAAGCACACGAGCAGATCCACAAGCGAGAGCGAGCGGACACTGCCAGCACCAGCAGCGAAGGCAGCAGCAGCACTGTGGGCAGCGACAGTAGCTAAGATGAACCTTTAACCTCCGGAGAAACAAAGTATTATCCCCATTTTTTTATAAATACTCTATATAAAGTTTCCTTATGAGTTTTTCTTACATTTTCATACCTTTTGTGCTCTTTTGCATTTTATCTGTGGGCAGGGTGGACTGACTGATTTGCTCTTATGCAAGTGTCTGTGTTATATTGTGTGTGTGTGTGGGGCAGGGGGCTACTGTAGATACTGACTGTAGAGTACCGCCACTTATTTTTGGAGTACTTACGATACACAAGCACAAATACTTCAGTGACCAAGTTTGAGTACTTCTTTTTGTATTTGCTGTTTTTTACTGAAACAGACCAGCAGCTCCTGACAGAGCAGGACCCCGTTTACCGAGAACCGCCGCAGAGTACTGTATGGATGCATTTAAAGGCCTTCCAGACGCGGGACACACGACGTCGCTGCTTCGTCCGTTATTGTCGTTGATGTTGCTCACAGCCTTACTCAGACATTCCCACCACCGTAGAGACGGTACGATGTTCGTCATGTACAGCAGATTAAACAGCACCAGGCGATGTATCAACCGTTAGAATGCAGTAACAGAGAAGACTAAAGATGAAGACGTATGTTGAAAAAAGTCTTGCCTGATTAATAAGCAGCCTCATCATTCAATTAGCGACTAATCAATGAAATGAAAAGACATGTTATGATGCAGCGGGCAGCATCAGCAGCTCCTCCAGTCGTGTTGATCGTCAGCTGATACACTTCAGCCACGTTGTCTCGGTGTTTACTGTGTGATGAAACCTCCACAGACCAGCTCAGCCACTCATCCTGCTGTCCTCTGGCACGTTGTGAGCTCTGGTCTGTATCCATCAATCATCAGAGGGCGCTGTCATGGTGTCCACTGCTAACTACACCCCCACAACGCCTGTCGTCTGAGTGACGCCTCCTCTGGTCTCTATAGCAACGGTTCTCAAACGTTTTGAACCACGACCCCCAAGATAACAGAAGTTTGTGTTCGTGAGCCGCCAGTTTGAATTTTTCATATCTCACGAGTAGAAACTTTGTTGTTCATGCGTTAAAAATTAATGAGTTAATTCCACTGATTGATCTTTTTACATTAACATGTTAATTTTCTTATGAATGACTGAATGATTTGAATTTATTTTGAACAAATGAAAGGGGGAAAAAAATACAAAAACAAAAGAAATTAATTTTTTTTTAAAAAGAATCATAATATTAACAAGTCCGAAAAAGGAGTGAGACGAAGTTCACACTTTTAATTGTGACAGCCCTGATGTTGATTGATTTGATAAATGTAGCCTTTGTTTTATTTTTGGTTTTTATTTTTTTTTACAATGATGTGGCGACCCCCAGTTTGAGAACCACTGCTCTACAGCACTTAACAGTAAGAGGCTCCACCTGGTGGAACAACCAGGTACTACAGCTGATCCACTGATCTTGAATGTCAGTCTTCTGGCGTACCGTTAGTTCTGTTCAATCAGTTAATTTATTAGCAGTAAAGAACAGCTGCTGTTAGTCTGATCTGTCCGGGATCACTTCCAGGTAGAACTAGTTCACCAAGTCCCTGCTGTGAATGTCTTTCTGCTCGACTTTAAACCTGGATTACTTTCATCATCATTAATCAGACCTGTGACCGACTTCATCGCAGTAAATGTTGACGTTTCAGGTTGTAGTCGATGTTTCTGGACCAGTATTTGGGCTGAAACGTGCGACCAGCTTCTCCTCATCACTTACCTCACTCGTCTGTCTTTTGTTCTCGGTGCAGCCTCGTAGGACGAAACAGGAAACCTTTAGTTCGTACGTGAAGCCGACGCGCTGCTGTCAGGTGTCACGTCTGGAAGAGACTTTAGATTCATGACAAACAAACACCCGGTGTGGACGCCACGTTGAATCAGGAAAATACAAATAAAAAGTCCCATTTGTCGGTCAGAGCAGAGAGAAAACGTTCATTTGGTTCCACTGAAGGCTGAAAGTTGTCGTCGGTGTTTCAGAATATCTTCAATCACTGGTTTCTGGTAAACGGGGCCCGACTTCAGGTTTCTACATTGGGCAGCAAAAGTCCTTTCTGCCACTTTACGAGTATTTTCATGGAGGCGTGGCGACTCGCAGGCTGTTACTGTACTGTTAAAACCTCTCTATATGATTTTTATCGACCAGTATTGATTGATCAATCGATCAGGACACAGCAGGCGTCTTTCCGTTGCTGATGATAATCAGTTGTTTTTGTTTTTGTAGCAGAGTTGAGATGTTTTCAGCAGCGTTGGGTTCGAAGGACCAAACTCATCAGCACAAAGGAACCCGACCTCCCTCACCCTCCTCCCCCGTCCAGATCGCTCACTGTGTACAAATCTTCTATTGATTATGTCATTCCTAAAAAAATGTAATAAAACTAAAAAAAAAAACAACAAAAGACGGAGGTGACGCAGCATCTTGTACTGGAAGAAGAATTATTAAAGAAACTAATGACAGTCCACTGTGGAGGCTTGTTTTGTTCACCGTCAGCACAACCTGAAGAAAAACCTCAAAGTGTTTCAGGTGTCGCACTTTTACTTATTTAGAGTTTTTAGTGAAAATCTGACATTTTTGTGACAGTTAGTCATTTGAAATTAATTTAAATATTTGTCTTACTAATGTTTATTATTGATAATAAATTGCTTATTATAATATATTTATCTAAGAGGTTTTTTAATACTTAAAACAGATTTACTAATATTTTACAGACACTTTTTTGAATATTTGTAAAACTTTCTGATGAATTTTCTTATTAATTATTATATATATTTACATACGTGTGTGTGTCTACATTAGAAATCATGTTAATTTGGTGTAGGTTATTAATGGCGCCTCTCGACCAGCTCGTTACTGAAAATGAGAACAAGTTCTCAATTAACTTACCTGCTAAAGCAAAAGTTACATAAATAAATAAATAATGATTATTTAAAAATGTAAATATTTTTGGTTCAGTTCATTTATAATTATTCTAATTAAATTACCGTTTTGTTCGTGCAATCATTGCAGAAATACTATTTAACAACGTGTTTGTTAATATATTAGATATTTTCTTAACTTGCTGCAGTTAAGTGTTTTTATTTTATGAAATATTCGAGATGTTTTAATCATACTTATGGATAAAGTTTACCCATAAAGAAAATATTTTTATCAATATTTTCAGGTTTTTAAAAAAATATATTTTAATGACAGTTTTCAGATTTTGTGGAGGGATGTTTTGTTAAAATTTTACATATTTTAGTTTTTTTTTTTTTTTTTTTTTTTAAACGATTTGGGGATATTTTATTGATATATTTGGTACAGTTTTAATAATTTTAAAGATATTTTAAAAGTATTTTTGGACACTTCTTAATTTTGGGGGGGATATTAAGATGTTAGTTTAATAATAGCTAATTAAACATAATAGTATTTAATATTAATAGTGATATAGGTGTTAATTTATACACGTACATATATATGTGTAATATATATATACACACACATGTTTTTGTGATGTTTTATTAACATATTTGAGTTTGTTAATTTTTTGGTAGAATTTATTTAGATGTTTTCTGACTAGTTTTGTCAACATGTGCGATAGTTCTTTCATATTTAACTAATTAATATTTATTGTTAATAAGATTTACATTATAAAATTACAAATCAGCTGTTTACTCATAATTGAGGTATTTGAGTGTTTTTGGGGGGATTTTTAGAAACAGTTGACTGATAGTTTCAAGCAAAACATTTTTAGTATTAACAATTTTTTAAAAGCTTTTTGTGATATTTTGTTTAATAAATCTTATTATTACTGTTTCATAAACATAATTTAATAAGATATTTTTGTATTTAAATGATTTTTTTTATAGTAACACTTTATTGTCTTTCTCCAGTTCATCGATACATTTTCTGTTCATATTTTCCAACAACTTTTTTTTGTTGATACTTTATTTAAATTTTTGTGACAACAAAACATTTAGTGTTTTTTGATTTTTTTTTTAAACACTTGTGGTTTTTTCATTAATGCATCAGACATCTTATTAATCATCTGGTCCAGTCATCTATTTTTTTAAATGAAAAATCTCATTTATATTTTACTGTTTTTGTAATTTGTGTGTTTGGTAAATATGTTTTCTTATTTACATCTCTGTGTTGGTTTTTTTTTCAGGCTTTTTTAGAGGAATTTTTATCAATATTTTTGGGGTCTATTGAAATGTTGTGTACAGTATCTTATTATTTTTATTTTTTATGTCAGACATTTTTGGAGACATTTTATTATTTTTGGTACAGTTTTGTAGCAGTTTGTTGATATTTATCAGATTTTTAGGTTTGGGGGCATTTTAAATAACTTTTGGAGGATTTTTTGATACAGATTCTTATATTCTATTTGTATTATTTTGGAGGATGCTTTGACAAGTAAGTTTTATTTATTTTTGTTTTATAATTCTGTGATTTACTTTGTGTGCTTTTATCTGCTGCTGTTTGGCTCATGTTCAGGTCACATGTGCACCATAGCTCCTCTTTAATTGTACTGATTTATGTCTTTTCTGCCTGAATCTGCATGAAGAAGATGAAAACAGCTAAACTCTAAAAATAAGGAGGAAATCTTTCGGTTGCGTCACATTTGGCCGATAAATAGAAGAACCAGCGCAGACGGGGAATTCGTGGACTTTAGTTGAGTTTTATTTGTTGAAGAACCAAACAGGACAACGCTGAAGCTTTCCCAACAAAAAAAACAGAAAATGTGGAATTTTCTCCTCAAAGACGAAGTGATGAAGACAAGAGAGTTTCATGGTCAGGTGTTGCTTGACGCTGAGAAGGAAGGTGAGAGGTTAAGATGTGGCTCCGCCCCCGGTCAGACAGCCGTGTGATTGGCTCAGATGGTTTCCTCGACGACCTTTGTGACGACGGTCGTGGTGACTGTTGAGGTCGTGGAGGACGAAGAGGACAAACCGGAGGAAATGGCGACGGATCTGCAGAGAGAGCACAAAAAAATGTGTTTTAACATTTAATAATATACATTTTTTTAAATTCAAGCTGAATTTCAGTAAAAACAGAAACAGTCGGTGAAACTTCCAGTAAGTTTTATGGCTCAGAGTCACATCTACAGCAGCTTTTTAAAAATGTTATTAATATTTTCTGACCTTTTTTTGGTCACATTTTATTATTCACATTTTTTTTTAAGATCAATATTTTGGTACATCTGAATATTTTGGTAAATATTTTATAGTATATTTTATGAATGTTTTAATTACATTAACATAAAAAATCAGTAACATTTTTGTATTTTTTATTAATATTTTTTAATAACATTTTATTAATCTTTTTAAAACATATTTTAATCCAATCTTGACTATTGGGGAGGATATGTTATTAGGCTTATTTATATTTTTAATCAATATTTTTTGGTATGATTGCTCAATATTTCTGTTCATATCTTAACATTTAAAATGTTTGGGATCGTTTATGTTTGGACTTTTGGGGACACGTCATTATTACTTTTGGGACAGAAATGTTTTTGTTCCTATTTTATTAATACTTGTAGACGTCTTTGGGATACATTATTTTGACATTCTTCATATTTTGCTATAGTTTAATATTTTACCCGTACTGACGTTTTCTGACAGTTTGGGGACGTGTCATCTGATTTTCATTCATCTTTTGATGAACTTTATTCATATTTTTTAAACTTCTCAGACTTTTTTTTGAGACATTTTATTAACATATTTCCTGTGAAGACTTAAAACGGTTTTTTGCTGTATTTTCCATTTTACTGTAATTTAATCATACAGAACAAAATGAACAAACTACAGAGCTGTGAAATAGTTCCACAAAAAGGTTTTGACTCCAAGTTTACTGTCATAGAAAAGCAGCTGATCTGGACCCACGTTGTTCTTCGGTTTGGTCTGAATCTTACCCGCTGCCCTCTCCGTCCAGCAGCCTCCTGTACTCGGCGATCTCCATCTCCAGCCTGGTCTTGATGTCCAGCAGCATGTTGTACTCCTGCGACTGTCTCTCCAGGTCGGCCTTCAGCTGCACCAGCTGCTCCTCCAGCATGGACACCTGCACAGGTGAACTCAGGTGAGCAGCTGCAGTCCAGAGCACAAACACACTTGAACCTGTGGAGGGAAACTCACCTGCATCTGGAAGCTGCTCATCTGACTGGCGTAGCCAGACTGGATCTCAGCCAGCTGGGCTTCGAGCGATGCTTTCTGTGAGGACACGAGCTGGTTAGAGGACGGAAACACAGCAAGGACGGACACTAGTCCACAAACTGGACACCTGTCGTGCAGGTGTGTTGGCCGTTGTGGAACAACTGTGATAATAAACGGGTCACCTGTTGTCGGGGACTCACCATGCTGAGCTGAGACTGCAGCTCGATCTCCAGAGCCTGAAGCTGGCTCTTCACCTCCTTCACCTCCGTGGTCGTAGTCTTCAGCGTCATCTCTGTGGTGGCCACCTCCTTGCTGAGGCCCTCCGACTGCGAGGAGGAGAAGACGTCAGTGGAAATACAACCCTGCAGGTGTTTGTCTACCTGTGTGAGGCTGGTGTCCCACCTTTCCCTGGAACCAGGCCTCCAGCTCTTTGTTGTTCTTGGCGGCAACGGTCTCGTAGTACTCTCTCATCTCCTCCATGACCCTGGTGAGGTCCTCCTGAGGGGCAGCGTCCACCTCCACGTTTACCTGGCCGCTCATCTGAGTGCGCATGGACATCAGGTCCTGCAGGAGACAGCAGCACAGACTTAGCATGCTAAGATGCTACAGTTAGCCTCATGTATATGCTAAAGCACAAAGGTGATTTGCTAATAATGCTAACTAAACAGAACTTCACAGTCGGCTGCCTTACAGATGTATTGTTTTTAGTCTGTTTGTTAGCATGCTTAGTTACCGTTAGTCCACATTTGAGCCATCAGTGAAGTGCACTACTGTATTTAGAGAATAAGTCTAATTTAGCACGACTAAACAATTTAATTAGCATAATAGCATATTATAGCGTAATAATATTGACTGATATGACAAGTGTGACATGCTAACAGGGCCAAGCAACACATTTCTTCTGTGTTTTTTATATGTCAGCACATTTAGTGAGTAATACTTTATGTATGTTATGTTCAGCATGTTAAAAGAGCGTTAGCCCACTGTCAAAGTACGTAAGGTTGTGTCTACCCAGTGCATCATGAGGTTTCGTTAGCGTAGCGTGTCAAACTGGTACTGCTAGTGTCACATGTGACTTGCTAACGATACAAACTAAAGCATGTAACATTGTCAGCTTTTCAGACTTAAGACGTTTAGAATCTATTGTCTCGTACATTAGCATGTAATGTTAGCATTAACCAAAAAGTTAGCCTGAGGTCCTTTGACAAGTGCAGTGCAGTTAATGGAAATAAACTGTTACAAAGTGTTGAGCCAGTGTACTGTAGCATAGCATGGTTTTGGTAGCATAGCATGCTAAAATGCTACTGTTAGTTTGGTGTTTTTTTTTTTTTTTAAAGTTCGCTAACAATGCTAACTAAAGCGCGTAACATGGTCAGCTTTAGTGTTAAGTGTTTAGTTTGATAGCATGTTCTGTTAGCATTAATCTCAAAGTACAGTGTGCTTTAATGCTGAAACATTTGCTGGAATGCCAAACGTTACACGCTAACGATGCTAAGTAACGTGAGCGTATTAACAGATTTTGTGTTTTATATCGATAATGTTGGGCTTGTAGTGATTGTAATACAGTCACTGATTGTAGTTTTAAAATGTCCGTCTGTAGCGAGGTTCCCGCTAACAGAGCAGCAAACTGGTCACCTCCTCGTGGTTCTTCTTCATGGACACCAGCTCCTCCTGCAGGGCCTCGATCTGCATGGTCAGGTCGGTCTTGGCAACGCCCAGCTCGCCCAGCAGCATCTTCAGCCCGGCGATGTCGGCCTCCACCGACTGACGCATGTTCAGCTCATTCTCGTACCTGCGGTTTGTTCACATCGAGTTGGTGAAAGGGAACGCGATGACGAGGAAGTTACAAGTGAAATGAAGTGTAATCCAGAAAAAAGCAGTGAAAAAAAAAGCAGAAAGAAAGAAAAAGGTAAAAAGAAAAAATAGTTGAAGAATTTTTTTTCTACCTGTGTCGGACACCTTCATGCAGATAAGAACAGTTAAAATAAATTACAGGACGACTATAGAAACTAATGCAGCAAACACAATGAGGAGTGTTAAAAAAAAAAACAAAAAAAAACTGAAACAATAAAAACAGTGAAAATGCTTTTGATTAAATAGAATTTTTAAGAATTGATTTAAAGCATTTGTACTTTACTGTCAAGATGTCATTTTTTTTCTTTTACTCCTGTTTCTTTATGTTTGGCACAAACTCAACAACAGTTTATGAAGGCTGAGGAAAAGATCTATACACCTAATATGTATGTATACAATTTAAATTAAATGTTGAGCCTAAATTTTATTTTACAGCCTGTCTGTTTGGTGTTTTCAGCTTAATTCCGTGTTTTCCTGAACTGGAGAAAGTCAGACTGAAGTGTAAAATAACTGCAGCCAGCAGGGGGCGCTGAGGTTGCATTTCTTCAATTTATGAGCCGATTCTTCAACTGAACTTAAGTTTTGTTTGTTTGTTTGTACAATAATTTACATTTAAGAAAGAAAGAAAAATGAAAACAATAAGAAAGAAAAAGCTGAAAAATAACATCCAAGAGATGAAAACAAAGTAAAGCAACAGAGCAAAGAACGAAGGGCAGGAAAAAATAAAGGCACTAACTTCATCCTGAAGTCGTCCTGAGCCAGTCCGGCGTTATCGATGCTCAGCATGACGGTTCCTTTGACCATGATGGCATCCAGGATCTGGAAACACATTTGAAACGAATAAGTCCTGCTGCTGAAAGAGTCACACGCAGGTGGACGAACAAACACTGATGAATAAATTCTGCTATTTCAGACTCATATTGAGCAAAACACAGATGAGGACCTAAAGGAAATGATTAATAAAAACATCAGAATAACTGTTGACCTTTTTACACATGTTTTGATTTTTTTTTAAAGTAAAGAAAGATAACAAAATAACTGAAAGGTAATAAAAGAAAGAGAAGGAACCAGGAAACAAAAACAAGAACTATTTTTTTGTTTTTTGTTCTGTTTGTAGATACATGAGCAAATATTTCAGTCAAACAATGTTTTGAGGCAGCTTCACGCTGACGCCTCCATCCAATCAGAGCGCTGATGTGAACTCTCTTATTCATTATCAGATGTATGGAAGACCAGAGGTGCCCCATTTGCACAGATTTTGCTATTTCCATACATTTGTGCCATTATTACAAAGAAAATTTCTTATTGCAACTATTGCACATTTTATCTTCTGCACTTAATTTTCCTTTGGATTATCGTCACTTTCATGGTTTAGACTTAGTTTCTTATTGTTTATGTGGTAATGACACGTAAATATAAAATTTAAAAAACTGCATTTCTACATTGCAATCAGACACATTACTTTTATTTAACTACTTTTTTTCTCTTTCATGTATTTGTTGTCATTATTTACAAAGGCTAAGAGTTTTAATTTTAAAAATGAATTATTGACAGCCTGTGATTTGTGACCCTTTGGAACCACATCCCATGATGCCTCACCTTGACCTGCAGCTCTTTGATGGTCACGAAGAAGGCGCTGTAGTCTCTGGTGGAAGGACCCGCTTTGGACTCGACGAACTGACGGATCTTCAGCTCCAGCTCGGCGTTGGCAGACTCCAGTGCTGACACCCTGGACAGGTAGGTGGCCAGGCGGTCGTTCAGGTTCTGCATGGTGAACTTCTCGTTGCCAATCACGCTGTCGTCCCCAGCTCCTCCGCCGAAGCCGCCTCCGGAACCGCCACCAAAGCTAAAGCCGGCACCGGCACCGGCACTACCACCGAAGCCAAAGCCGGTTCCAAAGCCGGCACCGGCACCAGCACCAGCACCGCTAGCACTGAAGGACCTGCTGGCCTGGGAGACCCTGAGGCTGCCAGTTCCCCCAGCCATGCTGAACGCCCTGCGGCCCATGGCAGCGCCGGCACCAAAGCCACCGGCCATGCTGCCGCCTGTGCTCATCCGAGATTGGCTGTAAACCATTGTCATGGTGATGGAGGAGGTCGGTCTGTCTTCTCCGGTGGAGGGAGCAGAGAGGAGAGAAGTGAGGAGAGCAGAGCATCCGCTGCTTTTAAAGGCGCGCAGCTGGGCGCAGCCGCAGGTGAGGGGGCGTGGCCTAGACACACCTGCCAACAGGAATGTAACTGAGTAGATTTACTCCAGTACTGCTGCAGGCGACTGTTCAGACATGTTACACTGCTTTTTATGACCATTTATGCAAAAATAAAAACTTTTTTATGCTATTTAAGGACATTTTGTTTTCAAAATGTTTGATTTTTGAAACATTTTATGCAATTCAAAACACAACGCTGCCTTTGTACCAGTTTAAAATACGTTTATTGTAAAAACATTTCGTAATTATACAAACCTTTTGTCATTTATTTAGACATTTTATGCAAATTTTAAAATCCTGTCATGCTGCTTTAAGAGCGTTCATGTTCGTTTAAAAACCTTAATAATACATTTATTTTGTGCAGCGCTTTTCAAGATACTCAAAGTCGCTTAACAGGGTATAAGATAAAAACAGGAACAAAACAAGTTGAATTAAAAACAAAGTGTAATAGAACATTTTATGCTATTTATACTATTAAAAAAGAACATGTTACACTATTTGAGTATTTTGTGCTGAATTGAAAACATTTTCTACGACTTTAAAATCTTGTTATGTTGTTTTCAGAACATTCATGTTAATTCAAACCTTTCTGTGCTACTTCATAAACATTTTAAGGCCTATTTATGCCATAAAAATGTTTCAAAAATTGTTGATCATCTGGTGTCACTTCCACCAAAGTGACGTTTCATCTTTTAATTTGTCACATTCAATGAACTCTTTAATTCCCGCAGAGGCGAAACCCTCCAAAATACACCAGAAGATTTGTGTGTTAATGATGTGAGTCTGTGGAGAATCTGTACATGAGATCGGAGGAGGTTTGAAGGGTTTGCGTTCCTGAGCTCGTCTCCCCTCCGGCTCTGTGATATAATGCTGTTAGTTTGAAGGGCAGATCGTGTTCTTGCTGGCGCTGCACTTTCTCTCAGCACAAAGAGCTTCAGTGTGATGCTGGTGGCCTCTGGCACCAAGCGATCACTTGTCACCTGCCAGCGTCGACTTCAAGTGCTCTGTGTGGGAAAACGCCGCCAGCCGCCAGCAGGGCGTCCGTTTGTTGTTTGTCTTGACGACCTGCAGCTCGAGTGTGTCGCTTGTTGCATGAAGCGTGAGCTGTGATGCGAGTGTGTTTGCGTTGTTAATCCTCCACATGCTGCTCTCAGTCACCACACCTGAGCACGACAGCCTTTGGTAGGAACACCTGTGCAGAGCAATGCTGCCCAACTGCTCCGACAGTTAAACCCAGTGACAAGTTTCTGCTGTCAGAGATGTGAAACAATAGAGCTCCTGCAGAAAATCAACCGCAAACAGCACAGAGGAATTTTTATGTGTCTTTGTGGTCGATGTACATCATTCTGTGTGTATTTGTGGTTGTTCTTATTCATTTTGTGGTTGTTTGCGTCACTTTGAGTGTATTTGTCTTCATTTTGCAGCATTTTGTGGATCTTTGTGGTTGTTCTACATCGTTTTCTTTATTTTTGTCTTTGTGCTGCATCATTTGATGTGTTTTTTTTCTTTGCTTCGCATCATTTTGTGTGTCTGTGCTGTCGTTCTTCTTTATTTAGTGTGTCTTTATAATAGCTTTACATCATTTTGTGGGTCATTACAGACATTTTGCCTCATTCTGTGTGTCTTTGTCTTTGCTTTGCATCATTTTGTGCGTCTCTCTGGTCATTTTGTGTCATTGTGTGGATCAGAGATGTGAAACAATTGAGCTCCTGCAGAAAATCAACCGCAAACAGCACAGAGGAATTTTTATGTGTCTTTGTGGTCGATGTACATCATTCTGTGTGTATTTGTGGTCGTTCTTATTCATTTTGTGTGTATTTGTCCTCATTTTGCATCAGTTTGTGTATCTCTGTGGTGGTTCTAAGTCATTTTTTGTTGTTGATGTCTTTGTGCTGCATCATTCGATGTGTCTTTTGTCTTCGTTTTGCATCATTTTGTGTGTCTTCACTGTCATTTTGCATCATTTTATGGATCTTTGTGGTCATTTTGTATCATTGTATGTGTCTCTGGAGACGTTCTACATCATTTTGCGTTATTTTTTTAGTTGAATTTCATCTCTCTGGTCTTTTTGTGTGTCTTTGTGGTCGGTTTATTTACATTTTGTGTCTTATTGGGGTTGCTTTTTACCATTTGGTGTGCCTTTGCATTCATTTTGTTTCTTCGTAGTAGTTTTGTGTGTTTTCATACAGTAGTTTTGTGTCTCTCTGTGGTCATTTCCTTTCTCTTTTTAATGGTATTGTGTCTTTTTGTGGTCATTTTGTGTCTTTGCAGTAGTTTTGCGTCTATGTGTTGTCATTTTGTGTGTCTTTGTGGTGTTTTTTTCTGTCTCTTTGCAGCCATTTAGTGGCTCTTTGTGGTGGTTTTGTGTCTCTTTGCCGTCATTTTGTATCTCTTTATGGTGGTTTTGTGTGTCTTTGTGCTCATTGTGTGTCTACTTTATGTCTCTTACTGAGGCTGTTGTTGGTCAGTGTTCCCATTATTTTGTCCACCCCAGTAGCATGTGTGAAGGCTGCAAAATGTCCTTTTAGATCCAGTCAAACAGCAGAATCCAGATCCGACCTACCGACCTATCCTGAGGTACCCCACCAAAGGGATCAGTGAAGCTCGATCTAATCTGATCTATCTGGGGTCAAGTGGACTCAGGTACTTTCCATTCTGGTGATGTTTCTGCTTGGCTGCACCTCTAAAGAGAAACACTGTTTACTGCAGCCTTGAAAGCATCACTGTTGTTCTTAAATGGTTAGTTTAGCATTCAGGTGTGACTCTGTGCCTGAATGTGGCCTTTACAGTTAATCTGCTGATCTGAGAGCTGAAAGCTTTTAGTGACAGGCAGTGATGTGCTGTCACATGAAGCAGCCTGCAGCTTCTAATCGCTGAGCGCTGAACCAGCATGCAGCCTGCATATGTCTCTACATGCATGCAGGTATGTGGGTATTCATAGTTCATATATGAGCTCGTATGGCTGCAGGTCAGAGCTGCCTTTGCTCCTTTAATTTGGGATTAATTAAAAACTTCTTGTCACATCATTTTAGTTACACACCAACAGAAAAAAGAAATTCACGCTTTCAGTCTGAACACATTTTTATTCTGTTCCTATTTTAAGTTTGTCAGAACCAAAGATACGTCCTTCACGATTTGAAAGAAAGTGATCCAGAGCTGCAGCAGAGTTCAACAGGTTCTTCCTTTGGTCACTCTCCACGTTTTATGGCTTAAGCTTCGCCTGAGCTTTCAAAACAGATAGCCATCCTTGGGCCGTCCTCGTGGTTGACTCACACTTGCACAAAACACACATCCACGTCATTTCTGTGTTTTGCAACTTTTATTTTTGCATATTGTGCAGTTCAGTGTGTGGATTGAGTCAAAGAGCGCATCGTTGGCCCTCCACAGCCGCTGAGATTCCCACACCTGTCCCCAGTACTCATTTCTAAAGACCCGCCCCCCTTCTATGATAAATGAAACAAAAACATTGTTTATAATACACTAAACATTTTTTAGCAAAACAAAATAAAACCAATATGATAGATTTTGGCTCTTAACGCCACATCTCCACCAAGGTTCATTGAATTTGGCCTCATAGTTTTTCTGTAATCTTACAAACAACTCACATATTGGCGCAATAAAATCCCTTCAGGGCTCCACCAAACCAGATAAAGGCCTCGAGTGCATTTCTGCCAAACAACAAACAAGATGAGGTCACACAACAGTTTCAAAGCGACTCTTGCACATGTTCCAACATGCAAAAGTACGCAGATTGGTGAAGTTTTATTGCACCGAAATAGCTTCAAAACTTGTCCAACAAAAACAAGGCGTCACCAAAAACTGGAAGTGCATCTCTGTCGAACAAAAAAAACCAAAGAGTGTTTATTCAACACTTTCAGAAAGAATACTGCCCACTGTGTCACTTTGATAAACTAAAACTGTCCGATTTTTAAAATATGTTGGAACTTTTCAATGGCCTGAAACTGGCAAAAATAAACCTACCACGTGTCAGCGTGCCAAAAATATTTATTTGTGCCATTTTGGTACAATGACACCGTCAAACTTGCAAAACCTGCATCAGGAAGTTGAGGGGCGCAGACGCCGCATATCATCACACCATCTCCACAGTAAAACATGGTGGCGGCAGCATCATGATGTGGGGATGCTTCTCAGCAGCAGGCCCTGGAATGATGCTAAGGGTAAAGGGTGAAATTAATCACCACAAACAGACACAAAAGCATCATGAAAAGATACACAGTCACTGCAGAAAGATGCAAAAGTATCTAAAACTGATGCAAAACCACAATGAAAAGACAAAAAATCACAATGAAAAGAAGCAAATTCATCACAAACAGATGCAGAATCAGCAAGACACAGAATCACCAGAATCTAATCCTATGAATATATTGCAGCTGCCCTGCTCCCTGTTTGTTCTCATTATTTCAATATAAAACAACCGGGTTACACTGATTTAATGTGGAGCTGATACCAGCTGGTCGTGTAGGTTTATGATTCATTCAGGCTGATAATCTGCAGGTAGAGTCATTCAGAGCTCTGTGGGATATTCACGTCATCCACTGACAAACGGATGATTTTTATTGACTCAAAAGAAGCTATAATTTCAGTCCACCAACATTTTATGTGGTTGTCATCAGACAGAAGTTGTTATGGGTTGTTGAACAAGTTAAAATGGAGGTGTAACTCTCCTATGAATTTGTGAGAAGGATGGATCAGAGCTGTTGTGCACACGAGGGATAAATAAAGACGACTAGACAGCTTCAGCTCTGTGGGAGTCTGGCTGTCGACCTCCAGCGCGACCAGCAGAAACCAGGGGACCCTGAAACCTGCTCGGTTGGTGCAGGATCGGGGGTTTGCCTGCAGCAGTGTGCTGACCTCTCTGCAGATGTATTAGAAGCTGAACTTGACATTTACAGTTTGATTAATCTGC